GCTCCCTTAGGGCGGGGTCGGCGCCCTGTTGGCCACCCAGCCACGTTCAGAGTCGGTCCCCCTTCCGGAATCACCAAGGGCCAAGTGGAAATCCCAGCACGTCCACGTTGCTTCCTTTGGCCTGTGAGGGGCCAGTAATGGCCATTTCAGCAGCCAGCCTGCCCACGGTGCCCCCCCCCAGCCCTGTCCCAGCACTTCCCCCGCAAACTGCTGGGCTGGCCCTGGGTTTCTTCTGGCAGACCTTCCCTTTCCCAGGGGCTGGGTCCCCTCTAGCCTGCCAGGAGCTGTGCCCCTGTCCCTGCTCCTTGGGGCCCAGCCGTTCTCTGTGGGTCGTGTGCTGAGCCCGGCTCTCTCCTGGGCCTGCTTCCAGCCTGGGCCTCTGGCTCCTTCCCCGCCCTTTCTTAGCGCTCTGCTCCCCCCATGCCAGTTAGCCAAGGGGGAACCCCTGGGGGGGGCTTCCAGCTGCATCTCCCAGGGCCGGCTGGGCCCCAGACGTGAGAGGAGCCATTGGTCCCATGCGTGGGGCAATGGGCTTCTCTGTGCCCCAGGTGGAAGCCAGCAGCCTGGACCCCACCGAGCTGCGGGGCCTCGGGAGACTCCGCCCAGCTGCCCAGGCCCTGACGAAGCGCCTTGAGCCAAGGCCACCCGGCAGGTCGGTGGCAGAGCCGAGGGGGGACCCCAGGCGTCCTGGCTCTGTGGCAGCAGCGCTCGCTGTGGGCCCAGGCCCCCCCCAGTGCTCTGCGGAGGTGGCTGAGGCGCTGCCTCCTGTGGGCAGAGTTGGGGATTCCTCTGGCCGGCCCTGGGCTAGTGCCTGGCAGGTGCTTGGCCTGTCTCCTCTGAGGCCCTGCGCTGCCCCAGGCCTCAGGTGCTTGCTGCCCGGTTCTGCGCACACTGCAGGCAAGCTGGGCGAGAACGTGGGTGCCGCCCTCGTGGTGGGGGAGGAGCTGGCACGTCCGGGGTGTGGCTGTACCGCTCCGTTGGGGATTCCTCTGGCCGGCCCTGGGCTAGTGCCTGGCAGGTGCTTGGCCTGTCTCCTCTGAGGCCCTGCGCTGCCCCAGGCCTCAGGTGCTTGCTGCCCGGTTCTGCGCACACTGCAGGCAAGCTGGGCGAGAACGTGGGTGCCGCCCTCGTGGTGGGGGAGGAGCTGGCACGTCCGGGGTGTGGCTGTACCGCTCCGTCCCGCCTCGCTGCTCCTTGCCATTCTTGGGCCCTCCGGCCCTCTGCCCACAC